TTTTGGGCACTTGCAACATTGCTCGAACAGGTCAAACCATTTAACGGGAAGCCCACAAATTTTTCCGGGTTCCGATTGCTTCTAGGGGTTTGGGTGCTAGCCATATCCGTCATTATTAGTGGGTATAAAAGCTTTGTTATCATGAGCCTAAACGTTCCAGACGAGCTCATCTATCCAGATTCATACGAGGTAAGCTAAGTTATAGTTACTGTTTAATAAATATATTAACTTCAATTGACGCAAATAATCATTTCTAGGAAATTTCTTGTAAACTGCCAAATTTCACGAACGCCGAGGTAGATCCAAGATTTCAACAGGTACTCGACCTAATAGCTGTCTTACCATTTCTTGAAAATGGAACGGAAGTACGGAAAAATTTGATAACGAAATCGTCCTGCTATTCTATTTTATCAGCCCCGACACAAACCCCACAACTTGATTACCTTTCCTCCCTAAGTTACTCATTTTTCAGGAATATGCAAATTCTTGTTCGTTCAGCTTATGAAAAGGGATTTAAAAGCTACAAGGACAAAATAATCAAGGATATCATAGACCCAAGACATCGCTCTTTCCCACTAAAGTTCATCCCCCTACTAGACCTCAAGAAACCGGAACTTTCAATCGCACAAATCTGGCCCGCAATTCATGAAGAATTACTACTATGCCAACAATCAGTCTATGTCGGGTCAAAGGAGGATACGGAAGCGTTAAAGTACAAGCTTGAGAGGAAGCATCCTTCCATACCCATATTCCACGTAAGCCGGGAAAAATTTCACGTGGCCTCTATCGGTTGGAGGTTTGGAACCGTATCGCACCACAGGATTGTGAAGAACTTTAAGAGGTTGCTTGAATCTGGGATTTACTATTTGTTACACCGTCATGAAAATTTCAACCATGCAAGCAAAGAAATTAATGGTAGTGAGGGACAAGCCATGATGGGGGATCCAGTGGAAAGGACCGGGGCGAGAAGAGTAAACTTGAAGGGAAGGTTTCGGACGACCTTTTTCCTCTGGGTGGGTGGAACGATACTGGCCGGCATTTGTCATGCTATTGAGCTAGTCTGGAGGATTTCGAAAAATGTATAAATTATGCACTAATTTCGTACACTGAAAACATATGTATAAATTAAAATAAATGGTAGGTAGTCAGAGCTCATCATTTATTAAATTTAGAGTGAAATAAATCTCACAATTTCGAATGTATTAGTAGTTGAATAATTTGTACTTGATGACTGGTTATAAACAAGACAGTGTCATTAAATGGTAAGTAATTGCTCGACTTGTAAAGAAGTCGAAAAGATCGTTGTGTGCTACTGAGTGATGGGCTAATTATTTCCCATTGTTTCTTTTGATTTGACATCGACTACTTCGAAACATTGGAAGACGGATCGGCGAAAGCGGAATCTAATACATTGTAGTTGAGACACTGATAGGTGTCTCATTGGCATCTTATGTTCCTATTGAGAAAGGATGTCACGCCTCCCACAGGCTTATAGAAAAAGTGATGACATGGTGAAACTACCGGCTTTCACCTGAACTTAAAATTATCGATGGGAAGGTAATGAAAAAGTAAAGTGAAGTTAATAGTACAGAGAAAGAAGGAAGCATAAGTTAACATTAGGCATTAGGATTCATTAATGTCAAAATGTGAAAAAACTTATCTTAACCATATAATGAGGCGTATGATTGAGTTGAATTGTGATGTTTAAACAAGCTATTGCATTGAAATGCGATAGCTCTTGTTAATAGGATGCATGATGCATCAAAAGTAGGTTTTTGTATTTTTTTATTATTATTACTTAATATTTTTTGATAAATAAACTATATAATTCATTAATTTTTTTCAGGACACTTTCTCACAACTTGCGTGAAGCAGCTCACGTCTGATCCAGATTCTCTACTCACCGTCCAGCCATTGACTACAACCGTAGTCGCTGATGTAATTCGAGCTGCTAGACAATCTGCTCTGCAGGCGTCTCCCCCACCTAAACGCCAAAGACAAGAAGCAAGCGACAAATAATAAATTAACGTTCAAGGGAAAGTAGTCATTTTAGTGAATTTAGTCATTTTTAGAGTTAATATTCGATGACGTAGCCCCAAAAAGGCCCTGTCTTGAATGCATGAAATATAAGTAAATGAACGTTCGAAAGTAGTAATTTGGTAGTAATTTTAGTCATTTTTAGAATTGATGATGTTCAATGATTGAAAATAAAAACAACAGTTTCCTGGAAATCATCAAATAAAATTACTAATCCAACCTATTTTCTCTGCATTTATTTGTAATAAAATTATTATCATTCATTATTTGCAAAATGGAGTTCATACAACTTTTAACTTTTAACACTTGAAACTCAGCCAAAGCACATTTCTGATTCGCGTTTTGCATGTGTTTATCGTAGGTACTCCACGTTTTTCTTATTCCCGCTAGAAGTGGAAAAGTGTAGGATATAATAGAACAATAAGTGCATATGCATATTTTGTTTAGAAGCTATGGAGGATATTGGGATAGGTTGTGCACAGTACATCTTAATAAATATTGATATATTTACGTTTCTGGGAATTCCAGTGTCAGGATCAAGAGTTAGGCTGGCGTGATGCCATTTAGAATTCGGTTATGTACATAAGACAATTAGGTCACACTTTATATGCATTTTTTTAAAGCATCATACCCAAAGTTGTGTTGCTTGCATCCGATAAGGATGACGTTGTGGGTTGCTCAATTTGTATCTCATCTGCCACATGTGTGGTTGGTTCAACTATTGGAAAATTTGTCGTGTGCACTGCCACTTTGCCTGTGACGAAGACTTTATTTATGAATGAAAAGACAGGATTACGCTATAAATTGTGTAAATTACCAGCAGCATTTGTATTTATTGCTGTATCAGTGGTGGTCTCTTTAATGTTTTCAGGTTGAGCTGCATTGGATTTGTAGCCTCTGAGGTTTCCTGCGAATGATAATTGGTCGTTGTGATTTGGGTTGTTGTAAGCGTTGTGAAAGTAGGTAATTCCGATGTATATACTTGATTTTCAGTTCTAGTGGAAGTTGTAATCCTCTCTGAGAATATTAAAGTGTCAAATAATGGAATAAATAGCCAAAATATTTCAACTGCAGACTTGTGAAGGCAGTATGCATTATCTCTTCTTTAACAGTTGTATTTGATTTGATTTGATTTATTCACATCAAGCTTGATTTACAAAAAATCTTGTTACGCTTGACGGTTAACATAAAATTTTGTACATAAATTTTGTTACATGTATAAGAATTTAAATGATAATACATATTTTGTAATTGTAGTTTAGTTGTATGTTGTCCACGTTTAGAGTATGTCTGAAATAGGGGTGGGGTACTTGGCTGAGTTGTTGCTAAAATTCGTTCAGAAATTTCTGTATACATATCTATGCAATAAGAAATTCACCAAAGTGCAATAATGAATGTACATACCAAACTTATTGACCGTTGGCACGCTTTCTGATTTCGGAACGTTGCCAAAATTGCAAACCGGAATCTCATCACGGTTTAAACATGTTCCAGTACTTGAACTGGTCACTCCATACACACAGCCAACGTTAATACATTGCAGACAAGTTTTATCTCCATCACAGATTGCATAAGAATTCACGGTTCGTAGAACAACACAAATTAGTAAAATCACCTTCATCTTCCTAATATGTATATATCGAGTTACAACTGGCAAATAATCAATTTAGTGGAAGTATAAGATTAAGTATGTCTAAATATTCTTCTTTCAAATAAAACTGGGCGTAATGGAAGGTCAACTGGAGATGGGCCAACTTTTGCAAGACATGTACATATAATTAAGCAATTAAATTGTGAAATCAAACACCCTCTTTTCTTGCCAACATTGCATTATGCAAATAATTATACATAAATGTGCAGTTTTCATTTTTTAGCATAATAAATATGCTCCTCCACTTTGTGCTCAAATGATGGGTATGCACGAGGGTCAAGGTTCATTGCGCTGGGGTCAAACTCCATGGGGGGTTGACCCAACGCCTTTTTTGCATGAAATTTTTGCATAAAATTTTGGATGCCAATTTTTTTGCATGCAATTTTTTGCATGCATATCTATAATTAGAAGAAACGCATGCAAATTTTATAAATAGAATTGAGCGAGAATTGTACCTTTATACTGAATTAACATAATCCCATTATGCGAATAAATAAATTTACTTATTCTGAACTACTTTATGCGATTATTTGACAATGGTAAATAGTTCTCGAAGATCTCATGATCGATTATGTCCCAAAATGTTTAATATTCTCGAAACTCGCGTATCTAAAAAAATTTGTGTGAGCATCTTATCGCTAAAACTTGTCCCTGGGGTGGTTTATTTTATTATGTAAGTATATTTTTTATATTTTTTTAAGCTTATCATTGACTGACAAGCTCACCTCTTTGCACCAGTCACTAACAAGATTTGCTGCTCTCTGCACATGACTCCCCACTGTACCAAGGTCAATGCCCCGCCCCACAGTTGTGAGATCGTCGGCATAGCCCTGTGAGTACAATTGAGGGAAACGAAGATGCAGTTTTTCCAGGATTTCACTAACGACAAGATCCCAGAGAAGTGGTGAAAGGACGCCCCCTTGAGGGCACCCCCTCTCCACCACCCTCCCAATCTCATGAGTAGCGTCAGTTACCCAAGTGGTTCGTGTCCGAAGCATGTGCTCAATAAATCGAATACATACCTCATTGACGCCAAACCTCCTAAGGCTACGGATAATAGAATCCAATCTAACCTCATTAAAAGCGCCCTTCACATCCAGCATCACTGCAATGCAGTACTCCCCAGAGTCAAGGGCCCCCTCAACAAGGCTAACAATCTGATGAAGGGCAGCCTCTGTATAGACGCCCTTCATATAAGCGTACTGACTGTGTCTCTGCAGTCTGTCTACAAGAGCAGGCGTGCGGACCCAGCCATCTATGGAGGGTGGATGATGAGGAATCATTATCCGACCATCGGTTTATTAAAGCCGATATGGGTCCACCGAAACCAATGTATTATCGGAACAAAAAGAAAACGAATTGGGAGCTCTACGCAAAGCTCGTGAAACCGAAATTGAGCACTATGGACGGCATGGAGATTTCCTCTACGGAGGAAATAGACATGCATGTTGATAGGATAGTTCGGGTTCTGAAGGAGGGATTTGATGAGGCATGCCCTCTCAAACTAGTGAAACCAAGGAAACGCGTAATTCCTTGGTGGTCTCGGGAACTGGACCTTCTGCGGAAATCAACGCGTACACACTGGAAGGTGTATATTGCTGACAAGAGTAAGGACTCTTGGGAGGCTTATTGCGTCGTCAGGAACAGATACATATATGCACTCCGGACGGCAAAGCGGGACTCCTGGAGGACTTATTGTGGGGAAATTGAATCCACTCATGAAACATCTCGGCTGCATCGTGTTCTGAAGAATGACCAAGTCAATCGACTTGGGCGTATTCAGGATACGAATGGTGGTTATACGGTGGATGTGAAACAATCACTTCAAGTGCTGATAGAGAAACATTACCCACCAGACCCGAAAGGGGCTGAAAGGGGAATGTCTCTAACAGTGGAAACCACTGCGAGGATCGACTCTTATGTCAACCCGGAGTTGGTGGAAAAGGCCATTAAGTCATTTGGTCCTTATAAGGCGGCGGGAGTGGATGACGTGTTTCCTAAAATGCTCCAAGTGGTCAGCTTTGGTGTGAGTGGACCTCCAACTACGGTGATGAGGGCCTGCTTACAACATGGCTACACTCCGAGGCCATGGAGGGAGACCAAAGTCATCTTTATTCCAAAGCCATGAAAGGATAGTTACGAAAGGGCAAATAGCTGGAGGCCCATCTCGCTAACCTCTTTCTTCCTTAAAACCATGGAACGGCTGATTGATTGGCACATCAGGACGCCTGAGCTTACAGGGGGACTGATGGGCAACAATCAGTACGCTTATATGAAAGGCAGGTCAACGGAATCTGCAATGCATCAAATTGTGGCTAGGGCTGAAGGCACCCTGAGGACACGTGAGTCTGATAATTTGAGAATAATTTATCAGATCATGTGTACACAGCAGAAAATAACGCGATGCAACTCAACCCAGAACAATTAATCACCATTGCATGCAAAATTGTGTGTAAGCGATTTAATTATGCATGTATCTCTGCAAATCCTAAAAGTTCAGCATTTATGTGAACTTTTTGCTTATTTGCGTATCTACTCGAATAAAAATTAACTCGGATTAAATTTATTATTCAAGTTGTTGCGGCGAGGCATAAGTTAAATTATGGTTAATTTATGCGTATTAAGTTCATGTAATTTTATATGATTGTTTAGTTAAGATTTTAGTACGTATGAATGTTAGTGTGCAATTGCCCCATAACGAGGTGGTAGATGCCATGGTGACGTGAGTTTGAGTGGGAGAAGGGAAGCGTCATTTGTCAGCGAGCGAGTGAATGAGAAAGTGAACGTTGAGTTAAGTTAGTCTCTTGTAGTAAGTCGAGCGAGTAAGAAGCTCCATTTTTTGTAGCATAGAAGTATTCGAAGAAATACTAAAATTTAATTAACGAGAAGGTTCTAATTAAAAGTTTTTAGTTATTTAATTACATATACTCTACATTAAGCAAACTCAAGCACTAAAGCAGCATAAAACCAGCATTTAACCAGTATTTAACCAGTTTTTAGACCAGTCCAAGTCCAGTTTAAGTCCAAGTCCAGTATAAAGTCCAATAAGTAAAATAAGTCCAAGTCAAGTCTACGCATAAGTTCATTACGGCACGAGGTCAGATCACCAGAAAATTAGTTATCACGAGAAGATAATTCTGAAGTTGATAAGCCCCGGCCGTAACACAAGTCTAGTAGGAAAAATAAGTTTACTTCAACTTTATTTGACACAAAAGTTGTGTGCCTAACTGTTTGGGAAGGTCCATATATTACGTCATCATTTTAGTGAGTGGGTGGTTTAGGTCTTCGTATCTTTCCCATGCTAAAATTCCCGATCCCTTAATGTTTACGTTGGGTGAGTGCGTGCTAAAATCTAGAATTTTCAATGACGTAATATATGGATAAGCCCTTTTCAAACTTTTGGTTACTACGTGTCCCATATTAATGGGAAATAAATAACATCCGTTTCCTCCTATTGCAGAAAAACACCAGAGTATTTATTTTAATGACATTTAATTCGATTAATTCTTATAAAAACAAGCGGTGCTTATGTATGTATGGCGACTAGTTTAATAAAGTTTGAAGCGATTAATTTTTCAACCGTGTAAAGCGAATGTCAAAAAGAAGAGTTGTATTGTTGGATAGTCTACATAATTCTGGGAAGTATACCAGGGTGCATAAACATTTTGTTGTCCGTACCGCACCGCACCGCACCCTGGAAGTATACATATTATGATCTATGAAATAATATGATTGATACATAATTTTTTGACAATATTGTTACCGGCTGCTGTAGGTACTATGCAATTCTACCGCTTCGGTAATAATTTATTACCGACGGGTAATATATACACAGAGGCTAAATCCCCGCTCAGCCCCCATTGTCTCCGCTCGGCTAACAAAATCGGAGGCAATTTGTTACCCACAGAAGACAATTTGTTACTATAATGTTACCACGCGGTAGAATTGCATAGTACCTACAGCCGGTAACAATATTTCAAAAAATTATTGAGAGTGTACTGTATTTAATTTAATTTATTTAGCACCTTGTCTAGAAATAAAAGTAATTTGATTGCTATGACTTTCCTGGAACACTTTTCAAATGCACAGTGAGATAAAACTAAGAACCTGTAAAATTTGAACTCACACTTCTTGACCGGACGGCCAATTTTCGAAATAGTTCCAGAAATTATGATCCCAGCGACAACCTGGCAGGACTGTGTTGAGGCGTTGCCTGTCCACATATGAACGGACGGACAGACAAAACAGTAACTTAAAGTCCCTCGCGCTACTTAATAATGCAAAACTAGTGGAATAGGCATTCTTACCCTACATAATTTCTCCTCATTATTAGATCGACACCTACGGTTCAAAAATGCTAAGCTTTGCCTGGTTTCTGAAAATTTTTAGCCAATTTTGTTGCCTAGAACTGGTTAAATTTGACCTTACTTTTCCACCTAGTTTCGAAGAATCATCTTTCCCAATCCCTGTTTTAAGAACATACGTCAATAGCGGGACAAATATCTCGCAAATTTTGACCCGTGTACCGACAAAAAGTAAAATTTGCAATGCATGTTCCGCCCAAATTTCTATCTTACCCATAAATTTTTCCAAATTCGCTGATTTTCTTGATACCCTAAAAACTTCAACCTTCACAAAACAGCCTAAATTTCGTATTTTTATCGATTTCCATCTCACCCTAGGAACTTCTCATGTCCTCCCCCAAATCGTTGCGACGTCACCAATTGAGCCCAATATTTTAGCCCAATTTCGAAACAATATTTTACAAAGTGTCCACATTTTAAGGGGAAACACATTCTCGGAGTTATGTCGACATGGCTGCAAAACAATTTCATCATTGCAGGATTTCTTAGTGAATCCAGGTCGGTTTAACTTAGATTATGAGGACATTACGCTACCCTACTTTAATAAATTGATTGGCAAATTAAACACCTCGGATTTACCACTCGTGGAAAGTGTCTGTAGCGATATGACATCTTCATTCCTTCACCATTTCAAAATATTTGCAGCATACGAACACAGGACATGTTTAGTATTTTATTTCCCGATTAGAACAAATGTAACATTTGTAAAAATTGACTCTTCAAACAAAAGGTTGGGTTTCTTGAATTATGTCAAATTTCACGAAATTTCAGGACAAAAATTACTCAACATTGTTACTCACGGGCAAAAACACGATGGCCTGTTTTACTCCAGTTTTGTCAATAAATCTGAGCTCGTGTCCGATATCAAGCTTACGAAACCATTCGATATCTACGTTTGGATTTCATTTCTCTCGGGCGGTGTCCTATTATCGGTTTTATTGTGCAAATTACTCGAGAAGCCGTGGTCCCAACTGGGATCAACGTTAATTTGGATATTCGCCATCGCTGTTGGGCAAACGGATGAAATTCGCGGATCCCAATTAAGAAAAAGGGTTAAATTGGGCTCATTTATTATTTATTATCGCGACATGGTCAGGAATGATGATTGCATTAATGCATTCTTATTCCAACTTAATCTACTCTTTTCTAATTTCCGATGTGAAAGTGAGTTTACCAAATAATTTGAGAGAGCTTGTCAATTTTGCCGGGATTGGATTATACACATTTCGTATGCCCAATGATAACCTATTTAGCATTTCAGTAGATGATTTATTAGACAAAGTCCCAAACTTAAGGGGGCAAGTTGAGACCATTCATACCATAATTTGGAAAGGAATATTTGATAGAACAATTCTTGCCATTGCCTTTAAAGGATTTGTTGGTAGCAAAAAGATATCTGGAAAATTTGTAACTTTTCAGAATTCCGACAATTTGAGAATATTTGCGACATTGATGAAGGCAACGGGAAGATTTGTCGAAGTGCGGAATACTGATTGGCATCTCGTAGATTTTAGAAGCGGTTGGGTTTCATCAAGAGATCGAGTTGGCCACGTTTTTGGGAATTTTTTAGCAAGTCTTCATGAATTTGGGATTTATTCTTATTGGATTAATCGATATCAAAAGTTTTCGGATTCCACTAGTGTACACAATCTTCGGGAAGATATCCTGCTAAAATATAATGCTAGCCTGAAAAGAATGAGAGTTCGGAAAGATGTTCCGTTCTCATGGGCGCAAGTTGAGATGCATTTTGCCCTCTTTGCGATTGGATTAGGAGCTGCGTGCATTGCACAATTGAGTGAACATGTATGGAAATTAATGACTGACGCAATTAGTGAAAACGTTATACATAGATCAATTAACACTTAGGAGGACAACCCTTCACCGACAGACTCACCGATCTTGATGTCCTTTGGATATGTTGTAGTACCAGGTGTGGAAGGATTTCATTCCATGGCCCCATTTGCGCCCACCACACCCCTTTGAAGGAGCGCCCAATGCTAAACTAGCCGCACTGAAACCTCCGCCAAAAATCCAATTTTGCTCGGATTTTCAAAAAAATTACATATTCTTGATCCCAGATAGTTGCTTTATTATATGCAATATCAAACTCATTTTTTTAATTTTTCAATTATTCTCGAAGATTTTCTCAGCGAGGAAGAATCTTGGAAAAATCCAAATTTCAAAAAAGTTGAGTTTGATATTGGATATAATAAAGCAACTATCTGGGATCAAGAATATGTAATTTTTTTGAAAATCCGAGCAAAATTGGATTTTGGTGAATTTTTGAATGAACCAAAACAGGGTATTTTTCTTTTTTTGCACTTTTGAGTGGGTGTGGCGGGCGCAAATGGGGCCATGGAATGAAATCCTTCCACACTTGTGCTAGACTCGCCTAGTACTGCAACATATCCAAAGGGCATCAAGATTGGTGAGTCTGTCGGTGAAGGGTTGTCCTCCTTAGAATTTAAGAATTTAGGACCACCTTAAAAAAGTGGAGGATCTACCTAATTTAATGCTACGATAATTTTAAAAATTATTTTTTATACCAAATGTTGGCTATTCAAAACGCTGCGCGCTGTATATTTTTGAATTTTTACATCATTTCTAAAACCAATTGTTAGAATTAAATGGATTGGAATTTTAGAAAGTACATTTTCAGTTACAAATTTGAATCGCATAGTTGTGAAAAATTGCAAAACTGCGAAAAAAATTCTTAAATTGCTCAAGGTTTTGCAAGCATCATAACTAATCCTATGCTAAGGACATCCTAAGGCATTTTATGCATACTCTATTTTATGCGATTTGTAATTTAATTTTCTACTTCCCACCTGGTTGTATTAAAAATGCAAATGATTTTTTGCTATTTTTAAATCGAAGATACTGGTCCTATGAAAAGGCCCGGTAATTAAACGCGTACCAGGCCCGTGAATTTGGCGTTACGGCTCTGATGGTTAGTATTTATTATTCGAGCATGTTGGCATCGAAAATTTGCAAAATTTGTATAAGTACCTCCTTGACACGTCGCTTCACTATGCGCTCTGCAAGGTAAACTAGATCTCCCGCATTAGGCAATTCCATCCTGTCGTCGTCAGACTAGAAAAAAAAATGTTTTTTTTAATAAAAAAAATGTTTTTTTTAATAAAAAAAACAATTCAATGATTTCTATTAATTTTAGAGTTCGAAATTTTAACTTTACTTTTCATCATAAATTTCTTGTAGTAACTGCCATGCCACTGATGCGTGATACATTTATTATATACCAGTTGTATTATTATTTATAACCAGGAAACCTTTCAGTTCAAAAAAGTTGAGTTTGCTATTGAGTACTAGAAGAACTATCTGGGAAATGGAAATTTTTTCAAAATCTGAACAAAACTCTATTTTTGATTATGATTTTAGTGCGTTCATTCTAGTGTTGCCTATGAGTTGTAAATGAGTTGCAGATGAGTAAATTCACTATCACTATTGATCAACCTGTCTAATATTGAAATTTGAAGCCTTTTTGAACTCGTAGATAAATTTGAGATTAAATGGCATGAATTTAAAATTAATATAAAAATTGTACATTTTTAGTTAGAAGTGGAACTTTAAATGAGTTGTAAATGAGTTTAAGATGAGTTTTAAATTAGTTTAGGACAAGCTGGCCTAAACATTGTCAATTTACGATTTTTATATTAATTTGAAATTCATAAAATTTCATCCAAAATTATCTGGGAGTTCAAAAAGGCTTCAAATTTCAATATTGTGTCGCCGTACACGAAATATGTGTCACATTACTGTGTAATGATGACGACGAGAAAGATTATCATCCAATATAGTCTCGTGTCCAATAAGTTTAATTTAGATCCGGGCTCTTACCCGAATAAAGAGAGATGCATTACAGCGGACACAGAGAGTGAATAGGAGAGAGCGGAGAGAGAGACAGCAAGAAGGAGCAGGAGGAGAGATAAGCAGCAGTAGGTTAGCATAGGTTAGGTTAGTGTGTAAGAATTAGTAATGTAGTCTAGTTATTAAACTAGTGTTTAAGGCCAGCTGTGTGTTGGATTCGTGGATAATAAGTGAATAAATGGAATACAACCCAGCTAACTCTTTATGTAATTAATCCGCTGGGACCCTTAAGGTCCGCAGCGGCAACAATTGCACAGGTTGTGATAGTGAACTTACTCATCTACAACTCATTTACAACTCATCCGCAACACTACTTAAGTCTCACAGTTTTTGCACCTTTGAGGGGGTGTGGCGGGCACAAATGGAGTAAAACCCTTCTTCACTTTTCGCAGACTCATATAGACCTCCAACATATGCAACATAGGCATAAAGATGTTGGAAGTCACAACTTCTGACTTCCTTACTAGCAATTTTACCCAACAGTGTGGTAAGTATTCATTGATTTCATTAATCCACTCCCGCCATTTGTTTCAGTACAATGTGTCGACAAAAATTTAAATGACATGAAACTTACGGCATCTGTTCCGTCCGTCATCTCACTCTCTTCAAACAATTCAATCAGTCTTAAATCCAAAACGTTCTCTTTTGGCTCCCACGTATTGTAACTGCGTATTTACATTTACATTATTAATCAGGGTTGGAAAATTAATATAAATATGTAGGAAATTAAATTAGCGAACAACAAAATAACCGTATGGGAATAGTTTGAAAGATTTTGAAATTTCTAAAGATATCTTGTTGAGAAAAATATAATGATACCCAACCTGATAAAAACAATGAAGGAATTATCCCTGTTTCGGGTGCAGGTAACCACCTGCAAGAAAGTGGTTTCTTGCAGTTATTTTGACCTGCAAGAAATGCAAGGGGCAAGAAACTCTTTCCCGCCAGTATAATTCATATGGCGTGTCGGTAGATGGCGTGCGTTTCTAGCACTTTTTCCGTCTTTTTTCACCTTGCATTTCTTGCAGTTTCTTTTGTTGCAGTGCAAGAAATGAAGCAAACCCGCAAGAAACGAAACACAGGCTGTAGGAGGTTTAGACGTCTCACTTAAATACAGTATATTGGGCGGTAAATGATGTAACGCAAGAGGGGGGGTCTAAGGCCCCATGATACCAGGGTATGCCACCCCGAGTTCTTGGGGTATTGTGGGTTTTGGTGGGTTTTGGGTTAGCAAATATGAACACTACCCACGGGTAGTCGGGGTTTTCAATTTAATAAATTGCTTTATGAGTGCAAGCAATAAATTATTCGCAATTTTAAAAGTTAATTAGTTATTACAATTTAATTAGTTAGCTGTTTTTTTTTGCGAAATTACTGAACGTCAGATTGTTTTCGCAACTTCGAAATCCTGAATACATGGGACACTGGCTCAGTTTGTCCCCAAAACAGGGACTACCCCGAGTACCCGCAAAACCCAGATAAACCCACTGGGCATGGGTTTTTAATGGCGGCTAAACCTTGGGGTTTTCCTTACCCTGGTACCTATAGTGCACATTTTAAAGTGGGGGATGGGGGAATTAAAAAATCGCGATTTTTGCATAGCATTATTTACGTACAACCCCCATCTTCGTTACGTGATTTACTCGAGTTTTTGAAACTAAACAATTCTTACGCAGAGCTAAATCCTCTCCATTTTATGAAATACTCGACCATCCCCTGCAAAAGTAAAAGATTCATATCTCACTAATTAGTAACTTTTCAATACGCTGCAGGACCCATGGTTAGTATGTATTATTCAAGCATGTTGGCATAGAAAGTTTGTGTAAGTATACCCTCCTGACACGTTGCTTCACTATGCGGTCTGCAACGTAAACCTGATCTTCCTCATTGTGAAATTCCATCCAGTCGTCGTCAAACCCTGACTAGAAAAAAATGTTTTTTTTTAAATTTGGTAGAAAATTTATACCTTTCTAAAAATCTCAAGTTTTACTCACAATGCGATGGTGTGAAGGGCAACTCTCCGATTTGGCTGAAATTTTAAAATTGAGTGGTCCAAGTCAATACAGCCAACGTTTCTTCCGGCAGTTTGTGCGATGGTTGGGATGTGTCAAAATATTTGAGGTCAAAGTCGAAAAACGGACGATTTTAACCAAGCGGAGGAATCAAACTTCACCTCCATTTCCTCCAAAAAACGGGCGAGATTTCGCTTTGAAAAAAATGGAGGTGAAGTTTGCTACCTCCGCTTGGTTAAAATCGTCCGTTTTTCGACTTTGACCTCAAATATTTTGACAAATCCCAACCATCGCACAATCTGCCTCAACAAACGTTGGCTGTATTGACTTGGACCACTCAATTTTAAAATTTCAGCCAAATCGGAGAGTTGCACTTCACACCATCGCATTGTCAGTTTGCAAAAAAATCAAGGCTCCACACAAATACAGCACGAAAATTGCTACAAGTAGTGTACATACGCGATCCGGATAAAGTCGGGTTTTCAGTCCTGTAATTTTAAATCGCTGTACAGTTTGACCCCCGATTTTTGAAAACCGAAACTAACTATTCAATTAAAATCACTAAACAAAAGTTTGCTGTCTAATTATGAGTGATCATATGTAAAATTAGGTAATTGAATGGAAACTGGGTTGCGTGACGAGTTAGTTAATTGCTTTACTCTATGGAAAGTGTTTAACCAAAGATTTTTACATTACAAGTTGCGTTCCAAATTACATAAAAATTTTATGATAAAATTTTCCTGGGTATCATACGTATATTTTTAAGCAGGTTTCCTCACTAGATGATAATCTTACTCTGGTCAAATCCATATTTACTAAAATAATTTAGCCCAAAAATTATATTGTGTGAGTATCAAAAATTAACCAAAATCGTATTTGACACTAAATCTTTTAAGACAAGACAACCGTACAAAAGTAATTTTACGTTATTACCCAAATGCAAAAAGATACTAACTCACCATGAGATTTTTTATAGAATTGAGCTCTGTCAAGGACACGAATTTCGTACAATTTTCACTTTCACTTAACCACTTTTCAACTCGAATTTTTCGTCACGAAAGTATTTTTCATCAGTGAAAAAGAGTGGGATTACTCTGACGTGGCAGACACAATTGAGCGATTTTTCTCCTCTTTAATATGCCAAGGTTTCAATGGCCTTCCGTCCCTTAAGTTAAACTACACACTGAACCAACGTAAGGAAGGAAAATATTGGGCTCAAGGTTGAAAAATGTAAAAGGGTCTGGTTTTGTGGCAGAAAGTGAGGATGCAACACGCCTGAGCTTCATTAGGGGTCGTCCATAAATTACGTAACGCAAAAATCGTGATTTTTTAGACCCCCATTTAACATGGGTTACATAGGTACGATATCATTCGAGCGTAGAATCCCCCTCCTCCCTCTTACGTTACGTAATTCATGGACGGTCCCTTGTGTGCACATCATCTCTTTTCATGTTGGAAGATATGTATATAGTAGGATTTTGTCCCCTTATTTTTACAGGGACGTATAATTCGACCGGCAGGGTTTGGATTCGTAAAGACAAATTGACTCGGGAAAAATGGCTTCTTACCACCCACTAAAATCGAAAATCGAAATGGGAAAATGGAAAAAACGGGGAAAACTGTGCCTCTGGGGCAATTCAAAACAATTCTTTAAAACTTGATATTTTCAAAATCTGAGTTCTTATTCGTATTGTGTATCAAATTCTGAGGAAATTAGTTCGTGATACGGTTAATATAGAGCAATCTTTAAAATTAGCATGTGACAAAATGGGGAAAAAATTCAAAACTGTTCAAAACAAAGTGGGCGTATTATACGCCAAAATTTTCAGAATTTCATACAGATGACGAATTCGAAGTCGAATTACAAGAATATTAAAGAATTAAGTTTGCTTTCTCCATAATTATCCCTTTTTGGACGGTGGAAACCATTTTTCCCACCTGCCGTGGCAAAAAATATTTTTGAACGGGAAAAAACGAAACCCTGCTCATGGGGAACGTATATTTGACCTGGTGTTTCGTGCCTTTATGCCTTTATTTATACATGCAGGGTCGTCTACTCCTCCATCGGACGAGTTCTCGCTTACTTGGCTGACAAAGTGTGTTTTTCTTTGTTCTGAAACATAATAAGGGCTTGGGTCCGAAGGAGGGTTGGTTGCTTGGAGGTGGTGGAGGTGAAGTTCGTCGAGGGTGAGACAAAGAAAGTGACCATGTAGTCAGAACATGCATACATAGTCTGCGTATACACGCAAAATAAAGTAACCAAACGGAATGACTACATATGATGCATTGTGGCAGAGCCGTACCGCAAAAATGTCGGGCCTGGTACGCCTTGTGAACCGGGCCTTTTCATAAGTTCAATATATTTGTTATTATTATAGAAGTTAATAGTAAAAAACTGATTGCATTTTTAACGATTTTTGTTTTTGTTGAACCACACACCGCATATGTCGGCTTAGCAATCGGATATCCCATTAAACCGGTTACTATCAATCTGGAAATCAATTATGTCATATGCTCAGCATTTTAAGGTCTATTTTCTGGAATAAAAGCTTAACATAATTATAAATTGCATAATTTTTTTTAATGGGGAAGTTAAAAATTTATAAATTTAGGAATAACAATCGAAACAAGAAATACATAAACATAAACTTTAACGTGGTTCTCGTAAATTTTGGAATGAATTTTGCATATTTAAACACTTTAAATATATGCACTTCTGTCGCGTGCTGATTTGATTTTGATATAAAAAACACGATTTCAGGAAATTTGCTAACTTTTTTGTTTAAATTTGATTGAGTAAGGTTAAAGTCATGCATTAATTAAAGCCTCGTAATAATCAGACATCTAAAGAATCTCTAAATAACCTTGTAAATAGTACTTTAAGCTGATTTTAAAGTTTTTATCTGGAATATTTAAATTTAAAAATTTGTAAAATTTTTAAGGTTTTAACCTTACTAAATGTTACGTCTTTAAAAATGCTTTTGAGAGCAAAACGTCATCCTTTTAGTTTTTGATGCCACAAAAATGCGATTATTTTTTAACCAACTTTTACCTATTTGAATTCTTAGTTTTGAAATAATTGTAACGTTCTCGTCCCAAGATAAGAATTATTTTAATATTTTGAATAAAAATTTGTTATTTTCGTTACTCTTTGCAACGATCATTAGCAATTTTTGCCTTTTTTGCTAACTAGTCAATAATAATTTAATGATTTTCTTAAATTAAATGCTAAATTTTCATAGGTCACAGTTTTTATTATTTGCGAAAGGGGGATTATTTCTGCAAAAATTGTGACTAATCACGTAAACGTATTTTTTACGAGAACTGTAAACTTTATGTGCCAAATTGAAAGTCGCACAATAGCACTGTTCACGAGCTGTAATCGAGCCTTTCGGGCAACCAGTGTGGACTCAATCAAATTTTAGTCGAGTTAACTTAATTTTTCCAGCAGAGGGAGCTTTTCAAGCTATGTACTTCATGGAGAAATGTCAATTTTTTTCGGTGCCCTGGTCGACCAGAATTTCTACGACAATTTTTCACTGTTTAATTATATGCCCAGGAAAACGCCAAGTTATGAACATCTGAAATTCAGAATTTCTGATGTTCATACAGGCTTCAGGGAACCTTACTAGCTACTATTTGCAATAATTTCAAATTCTTGCAAATACTAGCTTGAAAGGTTCCCTCAACTAGAAAAATTAACTCAACTCGACTACAATTTTATTGAGTCCACACTGTAGGTTAGCCGAACGGTTCGATTACAGCTCGTGAACAGTAGTATCGCACAAAGCTTAAAATTGGAACAGGCACTCTAAATTTGTTGATTTCGCTGTGACCCAAAATTTTTGTCGCCGAGTTATTTATTCTAGAATAATCTTGAAATTCCCTCAAATTAAATGCCCAGAATTTGTTCAATCAATATTTCCGAACCTTTTGAATGTGAAATATGTAAAAACTTTTAAATCTTTAATAGTTTCGAAAATTCAAAAAAATATGCTTTCATAGACTTGGTTTCTCATGGGTTTAACGACACTTTTAAATATAATTCAAACTTATCTCATTCATCATCTAATCCATTAAAATCCAGTATTTGATAATTTCTAATGTTTTCATCTGGGATGGAAACGTGGCAATTATACAAAATTATTTTAAATAAAAACATATTTTACCAGATTTAGTTTTTCTTTGTTAGAGAAACCACAAATAGCAGTTAAATTTCGGGTGGAGTTCTTGTCGATCCATTTCCAGGTTTAATTGTCCAACAGTTATAGTTTTGGCAAGTGAGGCAAGAAGACATTTTTATTTCTTTTCTTTCAAGAAGTCGCTTGCTTCTTGTTTGCAATGAATCTTATCAAACAGCGTTTACATTGAAATTTAAATTATTAGCAAGTCTCACTTTCTTGAACAAATTTATGGAAAAATACAAATGTTTCGAAAAAACATTAACTTACAATTTAAAAAAATGTGATATTGCCATTGTTTAATTAACACGTCGTTTTAGTAATATTGCGCAAATGACTAGTGAGATCAACTTCAAATTCCAAAGATCGACCAGTCAGGAAGGTGGAATTTTGTTTCGGATTTAATTTAAATCAACGCTAAATAATTATAATAAAATAGAAGGACATTCTCGACGTATTGATCATTGAATCTATCTCGTAGAATGTATCAGGCCCATGGAAAAGTACTCAAAAATTAAAAGAATCGCTCAATACAAAATCTGTAAACTCAATATTACGGTTTTGATGAATATAATTAGCCTACATTCTAAGCCCTAGAAATATATATTTTTGTAAAATCGTCAATTGTCAAGAAGGCCATAATATCTAGTGTAAAGCGAGCGACCTGGCCCGGGCCCCTGCGGGCCCGGGCCTGGTATTTGGTACCACCGTGTACCATCGTTGGTACGCCACTGCATTGTGGTATTTATTTTTTCACTGGATGGTAAATATACTGCTGTATATCCGCCAAACATGTAACGCAGGTGTCGGTCAGATTGGAAATCTATTCGTTTATTAACACATAGATTTCCAATCTATGATATTTCATAGGCCCCAACGAAAATCTGTTTCGTTCCAACCAAAAAATAATATTTTTCGTGACTATTTATGTATTGCGCTTGCAACCATTTGGTTTTACGTTTCCAATCATAATATAAAACAATTCAACCAAAGAATCAAAAATCCAAATAACATAAATATGTGAACTTAAGGGTCAAAGTATCCAAAATGTATACAGGCCAACATGTCAGTTTAATGTCTGGTTTTGAAGGTTAAAATTATTTTAAATAATATAATATTTAATACCGGTATTACTGAAGGCTCTAATGTCGAAAATACCGGTTTTGAAAAATAGCACTGTTATTGCATCTCCTACTTGGCGTAAATCATAATTATTCTGTAATGCATTGTGAGCTAAATAGGTATTGTAGATAAGCCAGTGGATAAGAGAAGCCATCACTTTCAATGGGTCTGAAAAGTTGAATTTACAGTAGTAATGCTCATTTGATTAAGGTTTCGACACTTTTTTTGTGTAATGATTTGGAAGGTTTTTGTGTAATGATTGAGGTGAAATTTTCGTCAACAATGGAAAATAAGTCAAAAACTCATGCACCAAGCAATTGACATCATTGATATCAAAATTCTTACGCTCAGATAACGAAAATATTAATTTCTTAAAAATAACGTCGTCATGTCTCATTAATTCACAATTGTTTGAATTATTGCCTATTAGTGACTTTGCCTTAATCATTACCTAAAAATGGTGTCGTACTGTACTCCTCCGTCATTTGACGATTTGTGTCCAAATTATTTGAATTGTTTCAATAGCGTTGCCATGTAATAAGGGGTGTTCCATTAATTCGATCACACTCATTTTTCGGCGCGCGCTCGAGGCAAAACTAGTTGTGAATGTTGATCCCGAGAATATTTTGAATTGAAATTCTTATCATGAGTGGACCTAGGGCATAAGTCACTTATGAGCATCGTAGAGTTCAGATACAAATTTTAGTTGAACAACAAATAAAACTTGAAGAAATTTTAAAGAAAGTGGGATGTGACGAGAAAACAATAAGGCTGAGGAACAGCAGAATTTTTTTGCATGTACAAAAATCGGTCTCTGCGATGCATGAAGATGAGACCTACTACAAAAAGAATGACTAAGCTCAATATTCATCCGAAAATTGATAGTTCAGTACTTAATTCTACAAGAGAGTCAATTGCCT